TTGGCTAGCTTCACTTAGCATAATCTGCTCTAATGCCATCCATTTCCCTCCAAATTCTATGATTTTGTCATTTTTTAATGCAGAGTAATACTCCATTGTGTAAGATTCTTGACTCTGTGGGTTTAGATTTTTCGGCCACTATTTCTTCAAATACTTTTCTCTCCCTCTTCATTTGAAAATTCCAATTACTCATATATTTGGCTACCTGATGTTACTGATACTCTTTTAAGGTTTTTCTTTTCTGTGTATTTCGTTTGGGTCACTTCTTTGCTATTACTTCAAGTTCACCAATCTTATTCTACAATGTCTCATCAGATGTTAATACTATCTGATATTAATTTCATCCTAAAAATTAAATTTTCATCTCTAGAAGTTTGGTTTGGGTAGTTTTATATATTCTATGCCTTTGCTTAGCTTTTTAAATGTATGGAATATAATCATAAGAAATATTTTAATGTCCCTTTCTATTAATTCTAATCTTCTATGTCATTTATGGGTCAGTTTCAATTGATTGCTTACTGTTTTCACTATAGATTGTGTTCCTTGCCTCTTTGTGTGCTTGGCAATATTTTATGGGATGCCAAACATTGTGAACTTTACCTTGCTGGATGTTTTGTATAGCTTTAAAAATTCTCAAACTCTGATGTAGGAAGCAATTAAATTCTTTGGGATCAATCTGATCCTTTCACAACGCACTTAAATTATTTTTTTTAAGTTGGGTAGGAGCAGGGCTCAGTGAGGTATTAATTATTCCCTACTACTGAGGCAAGACTCTTCTCAGTTCTCTATCCAGTGCCCCATGAATTAGAGATTTTCCAGTCTGAGTGGTAAGAACAGTTTCTAGTGGTCTGGGGAGGTAGTTCAGTGGTATATCACTTATGTAGCATGCACAAGGCTCCAGGTTTCATCCCTGGCACCACAAAAACAAACATACAAAAAAATGGGCTCTATGTCCAAATGTATGTGAGTGCCAGGTACTTATCCTCTTAATATTTTAGATGGTTACACCCTCTATTAAACACTGGAGGAGGACCTTCTGATGACTGGGATTCTTTTTTTAATAAAAAAATTTGTACTTATAGATGGTAAGAATGCCTTTATTTATTTTTACATAGTGCTAAGGATCAAACCCAGTGCCTCACACATGCCAGGCAAGCACTCTGCCACTGAGCAACAGCCCTAGTCCTCTCTCTTTTTTGCTACTTGGGATTGAACTCAGGGGTACTCCACCTCAAAGCCACATCCCCAGCCCTATTTTATATTTTATTTAGAGACAGGGTCTCACTGAATTGCTTAGCACCTCACTTTTGCTGAGGCTGGCTTCGAACTCACAATTCTCCTGTCTCAGCCTCCTGAGCTGCTGGGATTACAGGTGTACAACTCCATGCCCAACTGGGATTCTCATCCTCCCTCTCTCTCTCTCTCTCTCTCTCTCTCTCTCTCTCTCTCTGCTATGCACCCTTCTCTGATTCTCTGTACTATGAACTTTAGATGACTAGGTCTCCCTAGATTCTCAGTATCATCTCCCCAAATAAGGATGCCTGGCAGGTTACAATTCAGTTCCCTTTCCCAAGTTATACCCTGGAAACTAAAGGCAGTAAGTTATACATTTGTAGTATTCATTATGTTTCCTATTTCCCAGGGATCATTCTTCACTGCCTGATCATCAGTATCATTAATTTTTTTTTCATTTCATGTCTTATATTTTTTTGGAAGGGTATTGTTCAAGCAGGGACATAACTGTTCTCTATTACTACATATTGGTTGGAGGTAGAAGCATACCATAGCTTGCTTGCTTGCTTCCTTCCTTCCTTCCTTTTTTGTGATGCTACTGATCAAACCTTGGGCCTTGCTCGTGCTAGGAAGGCATTCTGCCTCTGAGCTGCATCCTCAGTTCAAACTTTTTACAAAGTATGTACCATTTTATTTACATATGCAAATATACAAATACACAAGAAGATTACAAGGAATATATAACATTTATTATAATAAATGTTATTTATTATAACATTTATTGTTTATTATTACGTCAACTCCATAAATACCTACTTGGCCTCATACTTTTTTTAAGCTAATAAAATTCCTCTAACTTTCTTGTCCCTCATATTAAAATAAATTACATTCCTATATTTTAGTATCAGTGATGTCATTTTGCTATACTACAATTCTCAATGGAAAGGAATCATGTCTTCCATTTTTTAAATATTTATTTTTTAGTTATAGGTGGACACAATATCTTTATTTTATTTGTATATGGTGTCAAGGATCAAACCCAGTGCCTCATGCATGGTAGGCAAATGCTCTACCTCTGAGCCATGTTTTCCATTTTTGAATAAACTTTTTGTACAATGCCCACTAGCACTCCACACTGAATATTTAGTAAATAGATAGTATTTAAAAAGAGAGAAACTATTAAGGAATTTGATGCCCTATGATTCTTAGAGTGAACAAAGTTTTATTTGTTGCAGTGGAGAAAGAATGAAAATAATGTACTCCCAAACCTCAAAACTTCTGGCAGCTTTGTTCCACAGAATGTTTTGTAACCAGCCTACTAATTCTGTTGTCAGCTGACTTCCTGTTTGGTGACCTGAAAAACACAAAAACAAAAACCCCCTAAGCTCTGAAAGCAAGAATTTAGATCTATTACATTAAACAAAGAGTGCTAACTATACTCAAAGCCTATAATCTTTACGTAATGGCTATAAAAACAATCACATTCAGACAGGTTTTCATCATCAATTTTAGGTTTACCACCAAAATTGATTATATAATGCAATCAGAGTTTTCTAGAACCACAGTAATTCTCCCATCAGTCTGTGATAGATTTCCAGCCTAGTCTCTTTTAAACTTATTTTCCATGTTCTAAATTAGATCATCATTTGGTACCTTAACAAGGTTATTGTGAATGAGCAGACAGCAATGCCAGAAATCATTAATAAGAAGTGTTTATATCATTATGTACTAAATAGATCAGATCAAGTTCACAAGAAAGGCCAATTATACCTTTAAGCCTTGGTAAAATACTTTAAGACCACACTTACAAATAAACTTTATTAGGTTAAATCTTAACTTGTGTCTGATTATTTCTGGTGTAGACATTTACAGGGTTCAAATACATCAGCACATTAAGGTAAAGTTTAAACTATAATAGAATTCTATACCACTTTTCTTCTGTCCCTTTGGCACAAACCATCAATTTCTACAAAATTTTTTATTAGAACGCTAAGAATCTCTGATTCCCTAGCCGAGTCAGCAAATGTAGTTTGTGGCATGACTTAATTAAAAATAGTCACAAGTGTGTAAATGGTTACCTGATGTATCCACTTAAAACACTATAATACTTTGATACTATAAGTGTATAATTTGATATTACAACAAAATATTTCCTAAGTGGAATTTTAGAAAGATGAGTTGTTCTGTACTAGCAAGTTTTCTAGTTAGCTAACAGTTTACTTTTTAAATATAAAATATTGTCATTTAAAAAGTCTAAATCTTTTCATGAAACTTCTTAAATTTTCTAAAAATTAAAGATACTTCCTATTTTATAAGCAAAATTTAATATTTTCTTTACCATTCAATAAGGTCAACAACACTTAAAACTATTGTATTTTATTGCATCATTAATACCTCACAGTAAGCTAGTCATAAACACATACTGAAAGGGATCAAAACATAAGAATATCCAAGCTTAAGTAAACTGA